TGCACTAATTCCTCACTGAGGGGAAGGTTGGGAGTTGAACAAAAAAAATTTGGGGGAGATGTGTTTGATTTTTTTTTAAAATGTTTTTTTGAAGTGAGATCCCTGTCGCAGCACTAACAATAGGGATTGGTCAAGAATTCTTAAGTAAAAGACCTTTTCCTCCGCTTGTGATGAATGCTTGTTCATTAAAACTGAAGCTTTTTGTGAGAATTCTATGGGAAAAGTTTTGCTGGTCCAGACAGAATTTGTGGTCAAAAGAAAGGAGAGAGAGAAAGAGAAGGAAATCTGCTCTGCCTGGTATAGCCTGTAACTCTGGGTTAGTCTATTCACATGGATTCATTGCAGAAGCACAGAGGAAGGTTAGACCCTCTCTTTTGCCTGATTTGGAAGAAAGAATCCTGTCTCTTAAAGAGTTAGGAAGCTCTCCATGGTGTCTGGTTTTGGAATCACAGTCTCCTTCTTCTTTAAATAAGAAAATATTTGRGTGCAGAAGAGCAGTGTTAACAAAACAATCTGTTGTGGTTGGATGGCAAATGTTCCTTATGTCCCACCCTTATCATCCACAGAATCTTCACAGCCACAGTGAATGATGCTTGGTGCTTTGGCTGTGGTAGCAGAGACAGTTGTTCCGTGTCAGGAAAGCAGCTGGGGGAGGCTGCCTCGTCCCCAGGGGCTGCACAGTCCTGCAAGATGAGCATGACAAATGTTAAGCACGAGACTTCAGCCAGGTGCTACTAGACACCCTCTCTGTTCAGCTTTATGGGGTAAACAAGCACCCCATCTCTTTAATAACCATATAGTTCATTACACAGTCAGATGAGTCCCCTACCTCACCCATCATTTTTATTTGTGTTGTGCAGGCACTAGATGTATGTTGGAATGCRTGTACTTAAGGGACCAGGAATGAGAGACCTTTTTATGAATCTGACTATGTATTCCTCAGAAGGCTGTTACTAGGGGAAAATTGTTGCATAAATAATGTGCAACTGCAGATGTCCAAGCCCTGTTTTCCTGCCACAGCTCATGGCTTCAGAGACACTACTTTAAAAATATGTTTTAATGAGTGTTAGAAGCAGTCAAGAGTAAGAAGGAACAAACAGTTAGCATTTTAGAGCTGAGCAGTTGAGGTAAAATGCRTATTTCTTTCAATGACTCTCCTCTTTGTATGTGTGCATACATTCCCCATAGTTTTTTTTCTGTAACTGTTTTTTTTTTGTAATCTAGATTTGCTGTCTCATKAAGGTTTCATTCCCCAACAGCAGCAAGTTGGCAGGTGTTTCTTGGTTTCTTTGCTGATGGCTGTCTTAAGTCAAAGCAGAGATGGCAGAWAACAGTAGAATGTGACAGTGCCTTTTAAAGTAAAGGAATAAATGTGTGTACTATTAGTATTTGTTCTAGAAAGACTGTGTCCCATTGACTTGCTGTCTTAAATGTTCTTTCTCTAAATGTTTAGTTTAAGGAATAAAGGAAAACCTTTCTTTCTGTGCCTGCAACTCCCATTAACAGGGAATAGGCTTTTAAGCACCCTGCACGTATAATAAATACATGCTACTTTCTAAGATGACAGCTTAATTTCATACCTGGCATTAAACTTTCTAGCTTGGCCATAGGCTTTCACTGTTCTCCATTAACCTGGCCTTGGCAACAACARCGAAGTTTCCAGTAAGCAGTTTGACTGGAACAGGCAGACTTCAGTGTCCTGGAGCTGGGATAGCATTTGAYGGTCCCTTTGTTACCCATGAGACCATCTTTCACCGTGACACTGACTGCAGTTCATGCCAAGTCCCATGCCAAGCCCATACTAGGCAAGGTGATGGTATGGATTTCCTAGCTGATTCTGCTGCTTTTTGAATACTCCAACTATTAATACTCATGTTTATTTTTTAAAGAAATTAAGTGTTGTTAGAGTGGTATCCTGGAGGRAAAAGGCTCTTTGGGGACTAGGGCTGGATAATACATTCTGCTTAGTAGACAGATGTCACTGAAGGAAATTTCCACAAGGCTGTTGTCAGAGTCAGTGTGTTTGGTATTCTGATCTCCTCTAGCTCAGGCAAGGCATGGTGGATCTGGAAGGGGGTCAGAGAAGGGCTGTACCTTGTGGGACTCTTCAGCATGTAAAAGAGACAAAGAAGGAATCTGTAAAGCARTGAGAAACTTCCACAGCAGCTACTWCTRGGTRTATATTAGAAATKAATMAAGTGTGATCTCCCTGATGTTTTAGTTGTGCTGTTGTCATTGCTGATGATGGGCAGCTGAATGCTGGTGACAATGGCAGAGTTTGCATCATTACATCTATCTGATACCAACTGAACAGAGCCTGTAAGATTTGTTTCACTCAGCCTTTAAACASGCTTCAAATAGAAACAACTACCAATTAGTTATGTATTCTGGTAGTAAATGTGACTGTTCAATTCCCACAAATTTCTGTTAATACGTGCACAGCACTTTTTCCATTTTTTTATGGCATAGCACAGCTGTGTGAGTATGTAGATTTATTTGGTGTAATTTGCATATCTAACTGCAAATGTATGTTAAATAAGATACTAACTCATTAAAGACACTTACTGGTTTTTTTCTCTTGATAAATGTGGCATATTTCTTTGTTCTGACACACAAAAAAAATCACTTTATTTTTTTCAGAGTAGTTTTACTGAGTTTTGCAAGACTCAAAGGACTTGAGAAATCTTGGTTTATTTATGTGCACTCGGGAAGCTTTTGGGATTTAGATAGAAAAATTCCTGGAATGTAGTTCTCTTTAGCAGAAGTTTCTTTAAAATTTTGCTTATAATGTAATRATGATAGGGAATTTTGCCCCTGCTCTTTTTGCTTCTCCAAGATGCCTGAATGATTTGCCTCAGCTGATGGCCAAGGTGTGAATTGCTGTCGGCAGACTGTGGGTAAGCAGAGCCCCTTTGATGTAAGTGGTTTGTTAGGGAGCCTGCAGGCCTCTGGCTCAATGGCTTCTCTGTCCACATACAGCTTGAGAACAGACTTTTTTTTTTCCTCTTTTTTTTTTTTTTTTTTTCCTCAGATGTGAGATCTGTCAGCAAAGTGAAGTCAGCTTAAATATCAGCTGAGGCTTGAGTTCCCTTTCAGTTTTTGTTGACTTTATCCCCTTCTGCTCCTTCCCGGTCAAATTTCTCTMTGATTGAGTCAGACTTTCTGACACTTAGGAGTTTTTGTTAAGTTATTAGTAAGTTTTTATTCTGTGTTTCTGTTACATGGGTTTGTATGTGGCAAAGTTCAGGTGCCCTTCACATTCCCAGCCTTGACAGTGATCTGAAATACTGAGGAGAATGAGACTTTTTGGGTTCTCTTAGACTCTTTCAGCTGCTACAGTTCCATTACAAACCAGTAAAAGTGCTTCTGGTACCCAGGCATGCTATACTCAGGGGATACTGTGCAGACCTGATGGAATTTTTTTGTTGTACCTTCTGTTACCAAGGTGTGACTCGGCACCCCTTCTATTCCCCAAATATGGAACAAAACTTACTCTCTGCTGGATAATTTATCGCCAAAATATAAGATATAACTAAYGGTTTACCAACGGGCAGGCAAAATACAAGGAACCTGAGCATGTGTTAGTTGTGTGCTGAGCYAGTCCTGGGAGCAGGATGCTGCAGTTACACCATGTCTGCTGGCTGGTGATGCAAACATCTACAGATTTGGGATGAACCTATGCTGTCTTTGCAGGTCAGTGGAAGCATTTTATGTATTGAAAGCTTGAGGTGGCTCTTGGCTGTGGCAAGGAATTACAGATCTTGTGGTTTATTTATAAAAAGAAAAGAAAAAACACAGTAAACTGCAGGGGGGCAGGAGGCTAGGGAAGAAGAGACAGCTGTTCCTGCTTCTGCTTTTCATCACTCTTCTAAGGATGAAAGTTGGGAGTTAGATTGTTGTTTTTTGTTACCCTAAGCTTAGATGTGTTTTCAGCTGTCTTGACTCTCTTCTTCTCCTCACTGTGATACCTTCAGTAGTTTATAAAGTTGAAATAATTTTCCTACTCATTACAGGGCCAGAATGCTTTAAGACTTGTAACTAAGAATTTGTGGCTGTTGAGCCAAAYAGGTCTTACCATCCTGCAGGTACTCTGTGCTTCTCTCTTCCCTTTGATGGCTGGTCCCTGTGAGAGGCAGCAGCCTGGCACTGTCCCTACACCCATCAYTTCTTTGTGGGCAGTGCCAGGGCTCTGTGTGCCAGGCTGGCTGCAGAAGCCACTTCTGGGTTTCTTCCTGTTCTTTGGTGCTTGGCACTTCTGTTCTCTTTGACAATGTCTTTGGGAATRGCCTTTTCTGTGTCATAGGTTATTAAGGGACAGGGCCTTACTTGCCCYTCAGTAGAAAGCAGTGTTGAGTGCCCTTTGTTTTACAGTGGAGAGTKCTGGAGAGGTGATGGCAGTGGGGGTAGAATGGGATATCCCATTCTGTTCCCTGCTGAGGTGTGTGCATATGTTGTCTGCACTGGATAAGGCTGTGTTAAAACATAACCTGCTCCTCTTGGGATCATGTTGTAGAGGTGCTGTTGAGAGGGAGGAGTGTTTTGCAGTCTGGAGAAAGAGACAGAGGGGCAGGGCAGGGTGTTTGTCTCCTTTGTTTTACTGGAAAATACAAGTCACAGCCTAGGATTTCTCAGTTGCAAAAACATAGTCTGGGAAATGCTTACCTCATGGCTGCATTAATAGTGAGTTATTGTTACCTCATAGTTCATTTCCGAAGTCCAGGTGACCAAGAAGACATTTTCTGCTGTTTCTGGCATGTTGGGCACCTGGCAGTCWGTGTCTATACTCCATAATATTCTTGGGTCACAGCTAAATGTAGGAGAAACCTCTCAACCCAGAAGCCCCTGAATCCCCACGGATGTAGATGTACTGATATTTGATGACAAGGAGACAGACACAAGGGGCTCCTCATGTGAAGGATACTTGGATCTTGCTGACCTGAGGAAAGTGATCTTGATTTGATTYTTCCTCCACCCCCTCCAACCTCCCTTCTGTCTTCCAGAAAAAGTTCACTCCTGTGACCAGGAAAGGCAGAGCGCCTTGGAGGAGGCCAGGCAGAACCCYCGCGAGGGTATCGTCATCCCCGAGTGTGCTCCTGGAGGACTCTACAAACCAGTGCAATGCCACCAGTCCACTGGCTACTGCTGGTGTGTCCTGGTGGACACAGGACGTCCCCTACCTGGTACTTCCACACGGTGAGAGCTATAGGCAGACCAGATGATGTGCAGCGGGTTTTATCTTCTGACTTACAGCTTTTGTGAAGTAGGGAGGAATGAGGGTTTTGCTTAAGAACAAAGATTATGGGCACAAGCAGTGAAAAGACAAGTGTCTTTGTTGCATTATCATCTGCTTTATACTTCCATGTTTCAGCCACTTGAATCATGACCAGTAGGGATTTAGGAGACTGCTTGTTTTGCATGGGTCCGTTTTAAACTAGTGATAGATAGATTTTTTTTTTTTTTTTTTTTTTTTTTTTTTTTTCTCTATCTTGAAACTATCTGAGGGATCTTTTTTGTATTTGGAGTTTGGAAACAAATAGTGTGTCTGGCAAGTTGCAAAAACAGGCCAGTAAGAGCTGGGGCCTAAACTCTGCTAGGTAATAGCGATTCTGCAGAACATGGACAGCTTTGAAAAAAAAAAAAAATCTCAGCTTATGCCCACAAGAATTGGAAGAGGGCCTTATGCTGTTTGTGGGTTTCAGTTGATAGCTGGTGCTGGACTTTGAAGTTTGTTCTTCCTTCTCTTTCCACTTCTGCTGCTGTTGCTGGCTGTCCATAAACAGTCAGATGCTTGAGAATGATATTTCTTCTGGAGGTTTATTGGTTTCCCCTGCAGTCAGCAGAAAAGGCAAAACCCATTGACCCTGAGATTAGCTCRCTCAGAGCATGGTGSTAATAATGCCCTGGTTGTGAGCTTGATCCCTCACTTAAGAGCTGGACTCGATGATCCTTGCTGGTCCCTTCCAGCTCAGAATAGTCTGGGATTGGTGACCATGTGAAAACACTAAACATATGTCCCATACTTTAGCTTCTGCTGTTCTCTTTTTTCAGGTATGAGACTCCAGTGTGTGAAAGTGATGCCAGATCAAAGAGCACCGAGATTGATGATCCCTTCAAGGACAGAGAACTTCCAGGTTAGAGGAACAAGATCCTGTCTCTGCCTTCTTGTCCTGTCTCACCTTAGGACTCATRAGAGGCCAAGAATACTGTTGAGGAGAGGGAGGATTTTCCTCAATACATGCTTTACCATGGGGTTTATTCTGTGTTTTTTTAAGATCACCTCCAGTTTCAGCAGTTAACTGGAAAAAGCTGCGAGTGTCCTGTGGAGGAGGACTGTTTATTGCCTGCCTGCCCTTTGAAAACATTTCAGGGGTTAGAATTTTCAGGAGAGAAACCAGCGTGCCTGGAGATTTCTATGGGGAAGAATGGTTGGCATGATCGTTGCCCAGAGAAGTTTTGAGTGCCCCAGCCCTGGAAGTGCTCAGGGCCAGGTTGTATGGGATGCTGACCAACAGGAACTAGTGAAYGGCGTCCCTGCCCATAGCAGGAGGATTGGAATGAGATGATCTTTAAGGTCCYTTTCAACCCTAGCCACATTCTATGATTCTGTGATTCCTGTCACTGAAAATATCCCTGTCTATGGAGAGAAAGGACGATGGAGGATCTGATCCTGCTTTGTCTGAGAAATGCTGCACTGCATCTTTTTATGCAGTCTTGAGGTTTGCTTGATTAGCTGCTCTTGTATGCAAAAATTTATTGGTGAACCAGAACTGCAGGGGGTGAGAGAGAATRTTCCTTCTTGTTTTTTTCTGCTCTTACTTCTTAGCAGAACTGAATGTTAAGAAAAATTCTTCCTTCAGTTTAAGACTGTATCCAGAACTGCACTCAGTTCTGTCAGGGGCATCCCTTGCTTTATTCCTCTTGTAAGAGGTTTGTCCATTCTTTAGACTCTCAGTGCTGCAGGTAGTGCTTCTTGGCTTGTGTGAAGAGACCCTGCAGAGGCCCACGTGGGAAAAGACATAAGTTCAGATCCTTCATACCAACACATACTCTCTTCACTACCTGTCACAACTGTGGCCAGAAGTAAAAAAGAAAAAAGGAAGGAAAATGTTGCTTGTACACAGCAAATGGCAAACGGCTRATTCCTGCAGATGGTGGGATGCTGAGACCCAGGGAGATGATTTCTAGCAAATAGTTTTTCAGCTCTTTCATTACCTYAACAAAAAGCTCCTCTAAGTGTGGTCTACTCTGGCTGCAATAGCAGCTTAGCCATTACAATACTGACATTTTCTGGACTGCATGCCAAACAAGTACTGAGGGGTGTGTGTGTGTGTAATGTACATAATACAGAGACAGTCAAGGGCCTGTTGGTTAGCTATTTCAAAGGACAGAGCCTGTGATCCTGCAAAGGAGGAACTTCAGTCAGATCAATTTGCAAGCTGCTTTTAGCTGTCAAGGGATTACAGTAAATTTCTGGTGCTCTGTTTGGGGTACATGTTCTTCTTTGCCTGTTCAAGAAAAGCAGAAAGTGTTGACATTGCTCAGTGCTGGCTGTGGGAGCCTGTTGCTGATGTCTGCTGCCTTAATCAGCTGAATAATTGGTAGTGCATGGTGGTTTGGGGAAAGAGGTGAGGGATGTGTTGATGGCTTCTCTGGCACATCAAGAGAAGACAATYGGGTGGGAGGGGATGGGTTTTGGACAACAGTTTTGAAGGTGGTTAAGCACACCTGTTCSTTGGTTCCTTGTTCCTTAGCCTGTTCCAAGAGCAATTGTTACAGGGTTTATGTGGTAGTAAATGAAGCTTTCTTTCAGCAGCAAGGGAACAATATATATTGCCTTTTAAAGGTGAGGAGATGGAGAGTTTTGTTGTAACAGGCTGGCACTGTTTAGGATAGAAGGCTCTGTCAGTCTGTGTATGAAGGTGGGGAACTAGACACTCTCAGCACTAAGTAATGGAAATGGTTACCAAGCTCATCTTCAACACACTCTGTCTTGCTCAAACCAGCAGTGACTGGGGGTGACTACCACATACTGACTCAGTTTGACGTATTTCCTATGTAGTGTGATCATTCAAAGAATGAATTACTGTGGTGGGTGCTGGCAGGCAGAGTGTGCAAGCAGCAGAACTTGCCTTGCTCTGGGATACTTTACTCTGTCATTTAGGGCCTCAAAACAGCCACGTTTGCATCAGAAGATGACCCAGGAGGTACTGAATTGTTTTTTAAACTTCTCTGCAAGTGTCACCATGGGAACGTCTCTCTGCCAGGCACTTCCAGCACATCCCTGTGGTTTTGCTGGTAGAGAACTGGGTGAGACCATAAAGTGAACCACACAGTCTTCCTGCCARTTGATGACCCTGCATGTGCCTGGACAAAAGCTTCAGGACAAATTACCACGCAGAGAAGCCCACTGAGCTGCCTTTCCTTAGGGACTGTGTTGATGGCTGCTGTCTTAAAAACAAAGGAGGTTCTGACTGATGCCTTTGAATTGGGGTAGGAAACCAAGCCTGTGTTCTTGCATTAAACCTCCTCTTTTCTTTCTACAGGCTGTCCAGAAGGGAAGAAAGTTGAATTTATTACCAGCTTACTTGATGCTCTGACTACGGACATGGTACAGGCTATTAATTCAGCAGCACCTACTGGGGGTGGGAGGTGAGTCCAGAAAGCACTCCAGCTGAATGCCACCCAGGTGGCTGCAGAGCTCTGGGTGCCCCTGAGGTGGGGGCAGGAGGGAAACGTGTTGCTCTGACTGACTTGGGTTCCTTTGGGTTGCCGGGAGAGGATCTGAGGCTGCTTTGTCCTGTCATCCCAGCGCTGCCTGCCTCCTCCTGCCCCTCCTCCCTGGCAGCTGCTCTGCCATAAAGGTTAGTATAGCCCATTTGAAGTGTGAAATGAGAGCTCAGTGGGAGGAAGTGGCTTGTTCTTTTGTCTTTTGGTGCATGAAAAGACCTAATAAAATGCAAATGGATTGAAGGACACCGTGTGGCCTAGTGGCTACTGCAGGGAGTGAAGAATGTGAACCAAATTCTTGGCAGAAGCAGCACTGTGGTTTTGCTGTGAGGCTGCAGCCAGCCTGCTGATGAAGACAGGAGCTATTTTTCATGGCCCTCCCCTCTGACCAGCTGCCTGTCCACTCCTTTGGGAAGGAGCAACGGGTCAGGCCTGTTGCAAGAGGTGGGCAGCAGTGTGTGTTTKTGGGGAACTGGAGGAAAGCTGAGGCTGTGTCTCCCCCTCCTGCTTGATAACAGCAGATCCCTGCAGCGCTCGTCAGGACAGGCCATTGCGGGCAAACCGTGATGGATTTAGAAAGTGCTGCACTGTCTCAGCTGGGCAAGGCTTCTGTGGTTCTGGATGTGCTGACTATAAAAGGAGTCAGCCCTGGGGCAGCTTGGAGGRATGGCACGATGACTGATGTGCTCGTAGGGGTCTAGAGATGGGTGTGCACATCTGATACTTCTGTGGGTATTGCTCCAATGTGCTGACAGTAATGCTGATCCCCTGCTTTCTTCTTTCATAWTGGAGAGCGAATCAGTGCCATCTTTAAACTGTTTGAGGCTATTGAAGGTCCTGGGTGGCGTGGCTGTGTCCCTTGGCTCAGTATCGGCTACTTGAGAACTCATATGGTTTTAACCTTACAGATCAGGCCTGTGACCTGTGTGTGCCTGAAAGCCGAATATTCTGTAACCTGTTGAATTAGGATTACATGCCAAGCATGTCTGTATTCATATAAACAGGATCAAAAATGCCCCAAGGATGGGAAATACATAGTTCTCTACCCAGCTTAAGCATTCCAATGTCAATTCTGTCTAATTTGCATGAGTCAAATGCAGCGGGTAGGGGTGGTGGGAAGCCCTGGAGAGTATTTCATATTTATTTGGCATCTTTGGGCTGGGACTGAAACAAAGCCAATGTAATCATCACTCTTAAAATAAAGCTTAATATAAACCAGTGTTGTGGAGACCAGAAATGTATGCCCCCACTGCACTTCTATAAACAGCAGGCTTGCTTCCTAATGTCCCCCAAGCTTTGTGTATTTCTCAGCTTTCAATAGAGGCCTTGAAAAATTCTGGTGGAATTTTTCACTGCCCAGGTCTTCACACAGTCATCACATTGATTTATTTTCCACTCTAATGTTGCAGCCCAGTTGAGAGGAGAAAATTAAATCTTTTAGCAGGCTGTCCTTGGTAAGGTGAAAGACTGCTACCACCCAAATACGTTGCCTGCCCAGAGCCATGATTAAATTCAGATAACTGCTCTGGTTTAATTTTCYATATGCCTTGGCTAGGCTAAGCATGTACCCCTAAGAACATGTGCCAAGCTTTTCCAACCCAATATGCCATGATGGGACCATTTTTTTAAGTGATTTCAGAGATTTTTTGATATTCATATAAAAATTTAATCAGTACATCTTTCATTTTGTTTGCTTTTGTGGAGTTGGGAAGCTATCTCTGTGCAGCGAGTTCTTTCCAGGAATCCCAAGAGGAGGAATATCTTGAGTTCTCTCTTCAGGAATTGGCTTCTGATGGTGTGAACATGTGTATTAATTCTGCTGGGTAAAAAATGGCTGGACCCAGAGAGTGGCCAGTGGCTAGTCACAAGTGGTGTTCCCACCATTGGTGAGGCCACACCTCAAATCCTGTGTCTGGTTTTGAGCACTTCACTACAAGAAAGAAATTGAGGTGCTGGAGCATGTCCAGAGAAGGGCAGTGGAGCTGGGGAAGGATCTGGAGCACAAGGCCTGTGAGGAGCAGGTGAGGGAGCTGGGGGTGTTYACCCTGGAAAAAAGGAAGCTCTGGCGAGACCTTATTTCTCTGTACAACTACCTGAAAGGAAGCTGTAGTGAGGTGAAGGTTGGTTTCTTCTCCCAAGTAATAAGTGACAGGATGAAAGGAAATGGCCTCAAGTTGTGTCAGGGGAGATTTAGATTAGATATGAGAGAAACTCTTTCACAGAATGGTTGTAAATTRTTGGAACAGGCTACCCAGGGAAGTGGTAGACTACCATCCCTGAAAGAGTTCGAAAAACATATGGATGTGGAACTCAAAAACATGGTGATGAACATGGTGGAAATGCTGGTTTGGCAGGTGGACTTCATGATCTTGGAAGTATTTTCCAATTTCTTGTAGGTCTCTTCCGCTTAACAATTTGCATTAACTGATTCTGTGTATATCTGAAATTTTTTAGGTGACCTAACTTGACTTTGGCCCTAGAAATGAAAGCTCTTTTCCWAGACGAAGGAATATTTTACCCATTGGGTTAGTTATACATTTAATTAATTTTCAGCCTTTACAACTAACAAAATAACTGTTTATCACAGTGCTTATCCTGTGTCTCCCTGGCCCAGATTTACTGAGAACTTTATGTTGAAAAGAAAAGCTAGAGATCTGGCTATCYGATGTGTCTGAATATCAGTCATGTCAGTTTTAATGTTCTAATGTCAGTTTTCTTATTTGTGAGGTAAGCTTCACTTTTGTGGGCTCTCCTTCATCTTGATGCCATTACGATGGCAGAACAGGTTCTGTATTCAAACACACTGGTTCCCTCTGTAGCCTCCTTCTTTCTGCTCCTTTACAGYGTTCAGCCTTTCATGCTCCTTGGCCTTTTTTAGATTTTGAGCAAATGCATTGCAATATCCAAGGAAAATTTTTAACAAAATCACCAGCAAAACTTAGGCCTGATATAGGGGGCAAGCCGGGCAAACAGCAAGTTGTACCCCCATGCCAACTGTATCTTGTCCTATATGTTTTAATCAAACAGAGAAGMCACATGTAGGAGTTTTAGGGCAAGGTGGGGAAGTACTCCTCTTTCTGTGTGGCAGCAGGGAGATGATACAGGCATGCAATATGCATCTTTAGTATCAATATTAAAATAAATGACCAAATGCAGAGAAGTGCCTTTTCAAAGGCCAAGGACTAAAAAAGCTTAACAGTGAGAGTCTTAAGGAGCTCAGACTTCCTTAGGGTATTAAAAAAAAAAAAAAAAAAAAGCAGATTGGAAGTTGATTTTGTAAAATCTGAATATCTCTATTGGGACAAAGGCTCTGCAGACTCTTTAGTCTAGTAGGGAAAACATGATTAACTGAATATAAACAAACTTGTGATCAAAATTTCTTTAAAGCAAGGGCAATTCTAAACCAGAATGAAGTCATGAGGGAGGTGACTGATTCCCTCTCTCTAAGGCTTTCATCTTAGGCCTGATGTATTTCAGAAAGACTTTCTTTAGTCAAACCTAAGTTATGGTCCCAAGAATAATTTGATTCACATTCTGTGGGTTTGATACATGGGAAATCAGGTTAGATTACCCTGCTGCCTTCAGTTTGAATCTGGATATGTGAGTGAAAACTTCCTGTGTATGCTGAGTATCTTTGCAATTAATGACCATATTAGCTGCCTTTTTTTTTTTTTTTTTTT